CGTCCATGTGACGAGACAGTGCTGTGCCACTCTCATGTCTCATGTAAGCAACAGCCGGTGCTTCTTGATTTCTTGGGATGGGCCCAATGCAGTGCTTCACTCATCGTCGGGTTGTCTGTTGTTGGACTGCTGTCGTCCTTGTCTGTGCCATCACCTGTCCGAAATTACGAGTCCATTGAGCCTGGGCTTGCCTCGCTACGGCTCTTCGCTGACATTGTACGGGGGACCTTCTTCCTTTGGTCCAAAGGGGTGCGCGCCTTTGTTGTGACTGCCCAGCTTGACTGCCCTGGACTTTTGGCTCTGGGAAACCTCGCCCCTTTTAAGGAGCGCCTTGGCGGTCAGGAGGTGATGTCCAACTTCCACGGGGTTTCGACAGCCGGTTTTTGTTTCACTTCAATTAATGCATGCACATAGGCTGCGCCCGAATCGGACTCTGTGCCTTCGAAAGCGAAAGCGAAATGTATATACATATATATATATATACATATATATATATATATGTATATATTATACGTGCGTGTATTTATATGTATATCTAGTCTTACACCACAGCAGAGGGCGACACAGAGAGAGAGAGAGAAGGAAAGGCAGAACTAAACCAGAGAGACAAGAGCAGCTTGCAGTTCGAAATACTTGGCGCAACTGATCTATCGATCCAGCCATCCTAAGTGGTATTAAGACCCTTACCTCTGACAGTTGTTCAGAGAGGCAGTCTAGTCTAGTCATCATGCTCCATATTTCTGTCCGAACCTAGGGGACAGCTGCTACTCTTTCACTTCTTCCTGCCAGACTTACGAGGTAAGGAGGAGTCGAGTCTTGCAGGCTTTCCTGTGCAAAGCTTAAGGTGTAGGGTTCAAGGTAGAAGGAACTGAGGCAGCATGCCTCATCGCTTTTTCTGCTGGGCGTCGGGCTTGCTGCTGGTAGCCAAAGTCCATCTGCAAACCTTTGAAGGCTCTTGAAGTGTACATAGAAGAGGCAGGAACGCGCTTTGAGCAGGATCTAAACACACCTTTCACGCTCACTCCAACCCTGCACTTTGAGCCCTCCAACCTTTTCAGCGAAAGATTCCCAAGTCTTTGGCGGCCATGCTTCCATTTAGGGTTTAGGGTTTAGGGTTTAGGGTTTAGGGTTTAGGGTTTAGGGTTTAGGGTTTAGGGTTTAGGGTTTAGGGTTTAGGGTTTAGGGTTTAGGGTTCGGGGAGTGGAGGATGGGAGACAAGAAGTACTATGCGGGACTATACGGTTCCTTACAAGGATTTTTGGCTTTAGGGCTAGGGTTCTTGGATCGTTTTGTTTGCTGGTACTTAAGAAAGAGTGGAAAAGGCAACACAAGGACTACTATGAGGGATTATTTAAGGGCTATGAAAGGGATTCCAAGTTCAAGTAAAACCCTAAGCCCTAATTACTAAACCCTACACCCTAAACCCTAAACCGTGGCTGAGGATATCGGATTGGGTCGAAGGCTTGAGGGTTTCGGGAATTTGGGGCTTAGGGCTGAGGGTGTAGGGTTTAGGGCTCAGGGTTTATGGTCTCGGCTTAGGTTTGAGGGTTCGGGTTTAGGGGATCTGGAGGATTTGGGGATTAAGATCCCCTAAACCCTAAACCCTTCTGGGTTTGAAGGGTTTTAGGGCTTCGGATTCATGTGGAAGCCTGAATACATCACCTATATGACTTCTTCGGGTTCCTTGATGTAGGTGTATGATCAAGCCCTGTTCAAAGTATAAACGCCCCTATAGCGCCTGCAGCACTGGGCCTCCCTCCCATCTGCACTGCTGAGATTCCGACGCACCAGAATCTGTGGCGAGAAGATTTTGGGAGGGCACCGCAGTTGCTCGGGGTTCAGAGTTCCATGCAGAAGAAGAGCAAAAAGACAGCAACATCGACGAGGAGTATGACAATCACGCACAGCCACGTTCATTTGTGAGCTTCATCGCTTTCATCATCATGATCACCATCATCACCATCACCACCATCGTCACCACCACCTGAACCCGAAGCCCTAAATCCAAAATCTCTGAAGCCGAAGGGCCCGGTGTGACCTCACCAATCACTCTCATCCTAGAATCTGCCCCGGTCCAGAAGCCCTAAACCCTAAACCCCTTTCCGACCCCCGTCCAGAAGCCCAATGAAATCCTGTCGCGACTCCGAGTTCGAAGCCGAGATAAAGCAAAGAAGATGAAAGCCCAAAAGCCTAAACCCTCAGAGTGGTTTAGGCGTTAGGCTTTAATCGCAAACCTTATTATAGGCACCCTCTTCTCCCTGCCCTAAACCCAAAACCCAAAACCCAAAACCCTAAACCCTAAACCCTAAAACCCTAAAACCCTAGACCCTGAAATCCTAAACCCTAGCCTCCCTAAGCTCTCGGAGTAGACCTGACAAGACTGGAACCTGAGGCTGACAAGCAAGCCATTTGTAGAACGGTAGTTCTTGATAATAGTGATAATAGTAATATTAGTAATACTAGTAATAATAATATTCATAGTAATAGTAGTAGTAGTAACCCAGCCTGAAAATTTTCGAACCCTAAACCCGGAAACCCTGAATCCTAAGCTGAACCCCAAAGCCCTTGACCCCAAACCCTAAACCCCGGACCCTGATCCCTAAACCCTGACCCCCAAACCCTAATCCCCAATCCCTAAACCCTAAACCCTAAACCCTAAACCCTAAACCCTCAACCCTCAACCCCAACCCTCAACCCCAAACCCATCAAAGCTCCCCGAGCCTGGGTAGGTGTTTCCAGCAGCTCCCGCGTCGTCGGGATGTCCGTGGCTGCCCTCACGTCCAGTGTGCTTTGTTGAGGGTTTAGGGTTTAGGGTTTAGGGTGTGATTTGCGGTTAAGGTTAAGGGTTTAGGGCCTAGGGTTTGGGGTTTCAAGGTTGGGTGTGTAGGGTATGGGGTTTCGGCTTTGAGGTTTAGGTTCTGAACATCGCCACATCGGCACCACGCTCACCACAACCATCGACCAATCGCCGAAGGTTACCACCACTGTTGCTGTCACCATCATCATCATCATCATCATCATCCACATCATCATCAGCAAGAGCAGCAGCAGCAGCAGCAGCAGCAGCAGCAGCAGCAGCAGCAGCAGCAACAGCAGCAGCAGCAAAAGCAACAGCAGCACCATCCTGACCATATCGTCGTCTTCCCAGAACAGTATCGTGATCTGCCACGCATCAGTCAAGGCCTCCTTCATCAGCAACATCACCTTCCAGGATCCTCGCGAGTGCTGGTGCGCCTGATGCCCTGGCAAGCACTGGCCCTGCGCTCCAGCTTAGCCATGGCAGGCAGAAGGCCCTTGCAAATCGTGACCCGTAACCCTATAGTATAGGGGCCAGAAGAACAAGGATAGATGTTGGAGGGGATTGTAGGATACTATGTTATACTAGACTCGACTAGACAGTACTACAAGCTAAGCTATACTAGCCAATGCTATACTGCTATACTCTAGTCTACTCTGCTCTACTCTACCCTACTATGCTGAATAGGGACTTCCTGCCCAAATCCCCGACCCCGAAACCAAAGATTCCAGCATCCGACGGCAACCCGAATCTCGGTCTCTCGGCTGGCGGAGCTGGGCGTCCAGGGCATTGAAGTCGAAGGTGCGAAAGCCTCGGCTACCACGGGGGCCCCCTTTAGGGTTTAGGGTTTAGGGTGTGGGGCTCCATGCATTTGAACTCCTGGGCTTTTGGGATCTTGGGGTTGCGTGGAACTGCGGGGTTTCGGCATGTTGCCGGGTCCTTTAAAAACATAGGGGGGTTTTGAAGGCTCTCTTAAACTCTGGGGATTTCGGACCCTGGGCTTTGCCCAGGGGGGTTTTGGGGGTCTGGGGGGTAAAGTCTCTTGATATGACGATATGGAGATGATGAGGCGATCTTATGACCTACTCCAAAGATCTATTCCGACGGCTATACGGATGCTCGAAACCTCAAGGACTTTGGGCATTGATCGGCGCTTGCTGCGTCATGCCTCTCTCTGCCTACTCTGGTTCGCTTTGGGCTTTGCGCCTTGGGGTTTCGCGGTTGAGGGCTCTGTGGTTCAGGTCAGCCACCCTGAACCCTAAACCTTAAGCCCTAATCCCTAAACCCTAAACCGATCCATGAAAAAAATCAAGGCCTTAAACCAAAGAACCCAGGCCCTGAACCCTAAAAGCTTTGTGAAAGCCCTGAACCTCATAACCCCAAACCTCATGCCTTAAAGCCCTAAACCTCATGGCTTAAACCCTAAACCCTACAGCCTTGAATCCCAAACCTCATGTCATGCCCTAAACCTTAAACCCTGAAGCCTTAGACCCTAGACCTTATGTCATGCCTTAAACCATAAACCCTAAAGACTTAAATCCCGAACCCTAAAGCCTTTCAACCCTGCCCTGAACCTCATGCCTTAAACCCTAAACCTCATGCCTTATAGCCCGTGGAAGCAAATGCAGCCAGCACCTAAGTCGCCGGCTATCGACGCCGTCTCGCCTAGGGGAAAGTCTCTTCGAAGGCGGCTTTCGGCGGTTGAAGGGGCCCTCAACCCTGCTAGCCCCAGACCCAATTAATCTTCACAACACCGTGGAAGTTCTGAACCCTAAACATAGACCTTCGCGCTCATTGAAGCGTTCTGTAAGGGTTCTTCAAAGCTGTCTCTATATGGGTTCTTCAAAGGGTGGTAGAACGGGTGCTTTCAGAAGGCTCGTTACAAGTTCTTCAGAGGCTTCTACAAAGGGTTCTGCAGAGGTCGCTAAATTTCTGTTAACAGTGATCCATCCAAGCGGTCTTTTTGGTGGATTCATATAAGCGCTTTGCAGGGTATAACGGGGTATCCAGTTGTCATATGAGCCATGTCATAAATCTACCTGACCAAAGGGCGTTTCAACAGTCGCAGGAATGGCAACTGCAGCATCAAAGGTACGAGTACCGACATTTACGATCGCAAGTATAGCAACAACAAGTCAGAGGCTCTTAGCCCGCAGTTCGAAACCCTAAATCCCCTTAAACCCCAAACCCCGTTACCTGTGTTTCTTCGGCAGATGCATGGGCAGGACCACTGGCCCAGGTTTTCCACGAACTGGTTGAACCGACATCCCAGCAATCCCCTAACCCTAAACCCTAAACCCTAAACCCCAGCAGGAAACCCATAAACCCAGCAATCCCACTTTATAGCCAAGGGCGATCGGAGTTTCTGGGACCATACCGATATTTCTGGTTCCTTGGGTGCCCGACGCAGCTTGCTCAAGGCGTCCTGCGCACGCTGGGTTTGTTAGAAGGTTTCGGATTTGGGGTGAAAACCCAAGACACCCATATCATCCTAAGGAATGGATAACCCTTAGATCATGATGAAGTATCTGTGCTAAGGAATCTGCGATTCGAGATTCTGGCGCTCTTGGATAACTACAGTTGGGTTGGGAGCTCAGGTTGTTTCAAGATCTGACTGACATGCACACCGAATCCTGGCTTTTGCATCTTTTGCGACACTGCGGATATGCTCGATGCCGTGTAGCTCAGCCAGAGTGAAAAGACTGTAAAAATTCGCCTCTTTGGTGAGATGAGTGATAGGAAGCCCTAAACCCTAAGATAGAAAGGACCTTGATAACGACCTTCGCCACTTTGCAATTTAGGGCTCCACAGAATGCATGCGCTTCAACACGAAGTAATTTCGATGTTCGCCGCCCGGAAATGGGCCACCACGGCAGAAGATGCCCAGCGCTTGGGTCTAGAAAGTCTTCATGCTTTGAACCACAGACTGGAAGGCTTCTCCTCTAGAACCCTAAAACTTGAAAACCACTCATGGAAACACTTTGTAGCAACCCAAGACCCTCAAAGAGGATGTTAGGACCACTAAAACCCAAAGCCAAACCCGCTGACACCGAGAAGGAGCCACGAAGATCGCTGTTAGCTCGGAGTCCGAGACTTCCTGTCAACCCCTTCATCTGCTGTAATTCTAGTCTAACTACTCTTGGTACTGCTGATGCTGCTACGACCATACCCAACATCCTGACGGAGACGACGAAGTGGAGGCTAATCAATGATGATGGCAATTCTGAACATGCTCACGATGGTGACGATGATGTTGATGATGATGATTATTGATGATGATGATGATGATGATGATGATGGTTATGATGGTGATGATGGTGATGATGTTGATGATGATGATGATGATGGTGATGATGATGACGATGACGATGACGATGACGATAACAATGATGATGATGGTGGTGGTGATGATGATGATGATGGTGGTGACGATCATGGCCTGTTGCTTCTGGAAACCGGGCCACCGCAGTGTGCCTTTCCGCATTTCGTCTCGTCATCTCTACCGTGCAAATCCTTACTGCCATCACCATCGTCGCCCTTTTGCGCATAGAACATCCTTACCCGAAACCCTAAACCCTAAACCCTAAACTCCTAAACCCTAGACCCTAAACCCTAAACCCTAAACCCTAAACCCCAACCCCTAAATCCTAAACCCCAACCCTTCAACGATGCCTCCAGCAAAGTCCCGCACCACCGTCCGGTAGAACGGACATCGCCTGATAAGCCATGGGCTAGGAAGAAGCAGGCGGCATGAGGTTTCTGGATCGGGTTTAGGGTTTAGGGTTTAGGGTTTAGGGTTTAGGGATCGAATAATACTAGTAATACGGAATATTGATAACGAGTACTGATGAAACCAATGCTATTCTCGAATAGCTTCTTAACGCTGCGGCCCTCCGTAACATCTCCCATAACTCCAGAGACTCAAAAAGGTGTATTTCTGAAATGTTCAAGACCTAAGGTATCTTCCTGCATGCAAGTAGCTTTGCTGCACAAGTCGCCCTGAAGCTGAAGCTTTGAAACATCGGAACACCCTTGACCCTAAAAAGCTGAAGCCATGAAGCCTAAAGGCCGCAAGCCTTTCTAGGAGAACCCTGCCTGAACCCCAACGCCCTCAACCCCTGAACCCTAAAACCCCA